GCCGGCCTTAGCTCCAATGTGCAGAAAGACTTGTTATTTGGGGTCTGGGTCTCCAGATTCCAAGTCAGGATATACAGGGCAGCCAAGGAGGGTGTGCCAGGCACCCCAATGACCCTGATGCAGGTGGTACAAGGTCATACTCTGAAAACCCACATTCCATTAAAATCTTCTCAGAGGAGGAGGCTATGCCCTGACAAAGAGGCTTTATGCTCAAACTCATGAGTGAGCACACATTACACAAGAGTGTCCTGGAAATATTTGTTTACAGGCTGACCCAGTACCTGAGCCTTGTTATCCTCTGGGCTTGCAGGTAGAAGTCTGAATAAACTGCAAGCCTGCTGCTACAGTTCCTGCCCCAGACAACGGACCAGAGGTGATTAGACAGGAAGAGAGAAAAGCAATGCTGACAGCGCACTCTCTGCAGAGGCTTGGAAACAAACTCACCACAAGCGAGGCAGTTAGACCACTAAGGGAACCAGCATGAACGGGTGTGTATCATCAAAGTACAGATGGGAATACAGCTGAGAGAATGATGGAACAAAGACAGGACAGAAGAAAGTAAAATTCGTATTTCTGAAAAATCTTCTCTGTGTCAGGTAGTATGCCACAAACTTTACATATGTGTCTCATTTTATTCTTCTTAAATGTTAGGTGGTAAGATGTTATTATATATTATATTAAAGAGACAGTATATCATAGATGAAGAAACTAAAGCCTAGAGGGCAAAGAACTCGTACAAGGATAGAGTTGGGAAGCCAGGTTTTGAACCCAGGTCCCTCAGACTCCAATGTCCATAATCCTCCTGGATTCAGTGGGAGAGCTAAAAAGATGGGCGTGAACTGGCTGGCTACGAAGAAAGGAAGAGTTCCACTCCAAAGAGGAAGCCAAGGCAAGTAGAAAGGAGCAATAAACAATCTTTAGCAATATTAGAACTTTAAATAGTGGCCTATTTGTTAAAATGTCTGAGGTTTCGAAAGTTTTGAATGGGAAAAGACTTGTACAGGTAAAGAGGTAAAAAGTTAAGATGCAATTAGGCTGGTCATAAGTGATTCAGAACAGCAGTGCCCCAAATGCTTTCTGCAGCTATTAGTGGGGCTGCCACAAACTTTGCATATGTGTCTCATTTTATTCTTCTCAAATGTTAGGTGGTAAGATGTTATTATATATTGTATTAAAGAGACAGTATATCATAGATGAAGAAACTAAAGCCTAGAGGGCAAAGAACTCGTACAAGGATAGAGTTGGGGAGCCAGGTTTTAAACCCAGGTCCCTCAATGTACCTATCTTTCCCATGATAAACAAGTATTACCTTTGTAAAGAGATAAAATATGTGGTGTGTTTTGTTGTTGTTGTGTACTTTGGGAATGCTGAGAAGTGGATGGTGGGGCAAAGGTTCTCTAGAAATGAGGTCAAAGAAAACAAAGGGACCAGGTAAAGGACAGACAAAACACCTTAAGAGACAAGCAAAATATAACCCTAAACTGTGAAAGCCATCCCTCCTCTTCCTCCTTCTTGAACAATTCCGCCTGCAGCCATTAAATAGGGCCAAGCAATAAAGTATGTCTGAGCACAGCTTGGTTAGGAGGAAGGGGGAGAGATGTCCAAAACGGCAGTGACAACAATGGGTAACTCATTACATACAAGGAAATTAACAAATCAGTAAATATAATGAGGATAATGAGAGCCTAGTCTCTTACTGTCAAAGAAAGAAACTACAAATACAGAAAGGGAGAAAAATGGCTGAATCCTCTGGTATTAAATGAGTGGAATTAGAGATATCATCAGATTAAGCTCACGGATTTTCATATATACACAAATAAAAATAAAAACATAAAGAAATACATGTAAACATAAAGGAAGTGTGTGTGAGAGAGAGAGAGAGAGAGAGAGAGTGTGTGTGTGTGTGTGTGTGTATCCCTGGCTCTGAGAGATCTGGAAGTAATGATACCCCAATAATAATAATCACACATAATGCCCATATCTTGCTTTCTAAATACTATTCCCTACTAACAGGGGTTCTTTGTGGAAAGCACTGATTCCAGGGCTGAATTTGGGAAAATTCAAGGTAGCACTTGAAAGTAAGAAAGTGTTGCCCAGCCGGCATGGCTCAGCAGTTGAGCATGGACCTATGATCCAGGAGATAGCAATTTGACTCCTGGTCAGGGCACATGCCTGGGTTTCGGGCTCGATTCTGTTGGGGGTGTGCAGGGGGCAGCCAATCAATGACTCTCTCATCATTGATGTTTCTCTCTCTCTGTCCCCCTCTCCCTTCCTCTTTAAAAAAAAAGGAAGAAAGCATTCAAAGAATGATAGGGAGATTTTAAAAAATCATAGAACCAACTTGAAGGGGTTCCTATTGCCAAATTTGGATTAATCCAAGCATCAAAACAAATAAGGAGAATAACTGATTATAATTCACTGAATAAAAGGGAAACCTACGAGTAAGTCCATCTAAGACAGAGATGGACCAGAGGATACAGGGAGAGAAAGAAGAGAAAGAAGGAAGTAAATTTGTTGATGAAAGGATATTGTGTCTCAAAGTAACTCCCAACAAAATTCTTATTAATTACCAGGGGGAAAGAGTAACTTTAAGGTGGAGAAATCCAGCAGACAGTGTCTTAAACAAGCGACTGACATCAACTGTAATCGCATAAATCAAAACCATGTACTACCTGAAAAGACTTTCTTTATATTCCAAATTGAGAAACATTATCACAAAATAAGTGGCCTACAACGTTAAAAGGTGTCAGTCATGATGGTCAAGAAAAGACGAAGGAACTGATTAAAGGAACAAAAAAACAAAAAACAAAATGTAACGTGATTCTCCAAAGGTTCGGTTTCATATTAAGGACAATATTTGGCAACTGACAAAACCTGAATAGAATCTGAGGATTAAATGGTAGAAATATATCAGCGTTAACTTCCTGATCTTTATGGTTGCATCGTGGTTACATAGGAGAATGTACTTGATTATAGGCAAATATAGTGAAGCTACTCAGGAGTGATAAAGGATCATGTTGATAACTTAAATTCAAATGGTTTCAGGGGGAAGTTACCTATTCTACTGGGGTAGGGACATGGTGGGGGGAGAGGGAGACAGCCACAGTTCTCCTACCAGACATTCTCAATTCCAGACTCCTTGAATGCATTTATGTCTGTTATTTTAGACAAACTATTATGGCCTATACTACAAAGTTCAGAGAATGGCATCTGTTACAAGTAATGTTGGTTAGAAGCACAAGCTATTTACAAAGTTAGGGAGAAGAGTGAGTGCGTGAGAGAGACCAGTGTAAGAAGAGCATCTTACCATCTCTCACATGCCTTACTGAGACTAACTTTAATACTCTTAAGATGTTCAAAGTTCAGTGGGTGTTACCTAGAATCAGCCCTGACCATGGAATCCTTCATTCATAGCCCTGTATTTCATTCTGGAGCATCCAGAGGCTGATTCATGGAGGCGCTAAAGGGATGAGAGTACTGGTGACATCTCCTGACCCATCTCCTGCCAGGTGTGAAGCAAACAGTTCTCACTCCAACATGGTGAAGCCTATATGCTTAAGATAACTGTTCCTACAGGCCATCAAATGCTTTGCATAAGCAGCAAAATCCAAAGGCAACTGTACACATCTCCTCTTCAAACAACTTAATTTCCAAACCAAGAAATGCAGATTAACAGGGAGGATGGGAAACATCTTTTCACCTTTCCAAAGTGTCTTTGTATCTTCTTTTCCAAATTAGATGATACAGACCTTTAGGGTCATAACCACTACTTATACAAATACTAAAGATCCACAATCCTTTCTCTAAGGAAAACACTGATTCTCTGTGTAGAAACCATACCCATGGAACAATGAGGTTAGAGTGGAAGATTAGTTCTTAAACTTTCAAAGCAGAGCAATAACTTTCTCTCTTAATAGGTAACTAAAAAGGTACATTGTTCCTTAACCAACACAAAAATGGCCTGGGATCACTACATAAATTCATACTAAGATATTATAGAGCCAAAGACTCATTAGTGCTTTATGGCCTGAATATATGTATCTTCTGTCATCAATTCTTATGCTGTACAGAATCCGACTTACATTTTTCTTAATCTGTAATAAATAAATGTCTCATCAACTGTTTAGAAGCTCAGATTTCCAAGTAGTGATAATTTTCTATTAGAGGGAATTAAAGTCCAAATGAGTAGTTAAATAACAGAGGTAGCCAAATAGACACAGCCACTTCCCTTCCTCCTGGATTCTCAGAGTCCCATCGACACAAAAGTATGGAGTCTGGATCATGCTGTTCTCAATTTTCACCACATAACATGCTTGCCTTTCAAAAGTTTAACTATATGCTCTTGGTCTTTACAAATCCTCACCCCAAGAGCACTGCAACAGAATAATTTCTATGTCTTCTGTGAAATCATAGCTGAAAACATAACCCACTATGTCACACAATGGCAGAATTCACAGAATTGTCTTTTTCTTTGAGTACAATGCCAGGAAAAAGTCTGTCTCTATAAACAAATGGGCAGGCTTTCTTTCCACAGACAATGAGTACTATGTAATTCAATGCTATACAGACAAGCAGCAGTTCCTTGTTAGTCTTAGCAGCCAGGAAAGTTAAAGCCAAATGCAGTGAACAATTACACTGGCTTCCCCTCGGGAACCTGGTACCCTCCACTTTCTATGCTCTTCTTGGATGAGTATTATGCTTTTATATTTAATTGTCCTACTTTATACTATCTTTAATTCTATCAGCACATTTTAATGTTCTTGAGCATACCCAAAGTACGTATGTACATATTATGTATATTTCCTGTCTCTTACCATTTTCCTTCTGATATCGCTTACATTTTCTGGTATCATTCTATATTTAATGACCTAAGAATTTAAAACAATAATGACACCCAAAGGCTAATTTAATAAAGACCAAGCAATCTGCATCATTAGTTCCCTTTGTCCATTCCCAAAACAAACCACGGGATGGCTCAGCGGGGAAGGCAAGCACGGCACCTTTGCAGTAGTCTGCGGGGTCCTCCTGCTCCTCATCATCTGAGCCCAGGATCTCCTCCTCTGGCTCTGGGGGCGTGGGGTCTGGCAGAGGTGGTGGCGGTGGCGGAGGTGGTGGTGGAGGAACTAAGGGAGCTTTCTGTTGAGGCTCCGGCCTGAAACAGCAGAAGGAAAATTCTTACTTACTGAGAAGTAAACCTTCATATGGACACTTGAGAGTTTCTTAATATGGAAAAAAAATAGAATTTGTCATACACTAAGAAGAAATGATGAGTAATGTCACTTCATCCATTTTAACTTGAATTCAAGTAATGTTTCAACATACAGGCTAGGGGGGAAAAACTACCCTTACTAGCCAAGGAATATTTTTGCGGGAACATTTTCACCCAGAGCTTCAATATTTCTTAAGTCCTGACAATATTATAAAATGTAAGTAAAATAAAAGAGTACCTCCCGATGATATACAAACACATACCCCAGAGATTATGAAGACATATGAAAGCAGCCCTGAATTTACAAAGGGGCTTATTTTCCATTACTTTAAAATCAGAGTTACTTTTCGAATGTGGTCAGGTATCCTGGATAACTCATAAAAGCTGACCAAAATAAACTTTAGCTGATACATGGTTATTTTCATTAAGGAATTCAGTTATCTATCAACCTTCTTTATCAAGAACACGGCCCCAAACTGGAACTTAAAGAAAATACCCACTATCAGTGGTCATTTCTAATTGTCACAAAAAAGTTAAATGACGTTTAGTATACTCTTTAACAAAGAATAGAAAAACCTGTAATACAAAAAAAAAGCTTGAAAGGTTACAGCTGCAAACTTTCCGGACATATCAGGTACATTTGTTTAAAAGTAAAGCACTCATAATGCCATTCTATAAAATCAAGCTTTCACTTACTATAAAATTTAACTGCTATTTCTAACCATGTCCCAATGGGAAAACTTGAACCTGAAGTCTCAACTTGGATGCCAGAAGCACATCTTTCCTTTAAAAGCTGCAAACTGCCCTAACAATGGGAGCACCACTGCTCTCCCTGAGCTGGCCACAGCTGTGTGGGGGGTAATGGGTTAGGGTAACAGACGTGTTCCCAGAGGCCATTTCAGTAGGGTGAGCGCAGGGTCTCTAATCTGGGGAAGCAAGGGGAATCCCCTAGGCACTGAGGTGGTAGACAACTGCGATTTTTTTTTTAACCTGTCCAGTATCATGCTCCCTTTCACGTTTTGAGACACTGCTACTCCCTGCACAATGGAAGACTGGTTCCAGATCCTCTCTCCTCACTGTAGTACACAGCCCCGGGCACAGAGCCAAAGACAAGGTCAGTGTCATAGGGTGCAAGTTTATACCTAGCTGACAGTAAGAGGCAAGAACAGAGGAGCTGCCCTGACTACTGCCCCTTTCTAAGGTGTGACTCTAAATTCTCACCAATCTAAGAGTCCCCAAATAGCCCTTACTATACTGCCTTTAGCCTAAGTTAGCTAAAGCTCATTTATGTGGTTTGCCACCAAAAACTCAAACTGCCACAAGCAACAAAGGGACACCACCAGCAGTCATGAGGAAGGGGTAGGGATCACACCCCATTAGTAACCTTAAAGACAAACAATAACAAGTATGACTGATTCAATATTTACAAAAAGAATGTTTATAAGCCAGCCCTGGCCAGGTAGCTCAGTTGATCAGAGAGTTGTCGCAATAAACCAAGGTGGTAGGTTTGATCCCCAAACAGGGCACATACACGAAGCAAATAATGAATGTACAAATCTCTCTCTCCTCTCATCAGTAAATACATAAAAAAAATTTTAATTCAAAAAGAGAATGTTTATAAACCAAAAATTACTTGTATTGATTTCTATTTGAATTTATGAAGACTCAAAGTTACAGCTCCCTGGGTAGCAGACATTAGAACATGGTGGTGACAGCACTCAAATGAACCACTCCTCCTGACAGAGAAATGCAGGGGAATAATCACCCCCAACCCTACATCACTGCCAGGACACATCCAAAAATTCCAACAGAACTCATGGAAGTGCCATCATCTTTCTAACAGCCTTACATACGCTCATTTTCTTTTTAGTAGACAAACGCTTAACTAAAATTAGAATGGTTCCAGGCAAAAGAGAGGCGTGAAGGGGAGGCAGGAGAGGAATGGCAACAGCTTTCCCACTTCCCCAGAGGGCAGAGGAGGTGAAACACATTCTTCAGGGGTGTCGGCAGAACCTATCTGCCTGACAAACTGACTGCCAGAAATATTTTGAAGGTTGGCTCTTTCTTAAAAATTTTAAATGAAAAGATGAGGAGATTCTAAATTTAAAAGAAAATACGTTACATTCCCTGCATAAACCATGTAATAATTAATGAAAGCAGAACTACAGGGTCTTGTTCTACCAGTGTGTGGCATATTATACTCAACACTGAGAACATGTGGGCCAGATAATTCACTGTTGTGGGGGCTACGCCATCAGCACCCCTGGGCCCTAGCCACTACACGGCAGTAGCACACCCCCCAATCCTCCAGGTGTGACCGTCAAAAATGTTTCCCAACACTCAAATTACCTGGGGCAAAAATCATGCCCATTCGAGAACCACTACACTAGTACTGTTTTCTACATATAGCTTTTTTAAAAATATTTTTTTATTGATTTTTTTTTTTTTCAGAGAGAGGAAGGAAGAGAAAGAGAAACATCGATGTGAAAGTGGAACATCAATCAGCTGCCTCCTGCAAGCCCCCTACCCGGAATTGAGCTTGCAACCCTGGCATGTGCCCTGACCAGGAATTGAACTGGCAACCTTGCAGTGCACAAGACGATGCCCAACCAACTGAACCACACAGGCCAGGGCGGAGTAGACTGTATCTGTGAAAAAGGTGAAAAGATTTTAATTTTCACAGTCCAGTTTTCTCTTTTGAGAGGCTCAGGCACCTCCACCATAATGTGTCTCAGTTATTCTTTACCCATTTAGCGAGGTGCCCACGTCACTTAACAAAGTTCTCAGACCCTTCGGTCTCAGTAAGCAGGCACTTCTCATCCCACCGGCGAGGGGCGCATTAAACAGTCAGGAAAAAAGCTCCCCCCGAAAGCCAAGTGTATCAAATTAAAGGGATGAGTCAGGGTACCGTTAAGTACAAAGGCGGCTGAGTAATGCTGACATAATATTTCAACTGGTTATCATATCAAAACCTCTAGAACTGTGCTGTCCAGTATGGTAGCCACTGGCCACATATGGGTACTGAGCACTTGAAATGTGGCTAGTCCAAAATGAGATATGCTTTAAGTATAAAATGTGTACTGAATTTCCAAGATTTAGTACCAAAAATGTAAAATATTGTATTAATTTTATATTATATGTTAAAATAATGTTCTGGATATAATAAAATGTATTACTAAAATTTAATTCACCTGATTCTTTTTACTTTTGTTAATGTGGCTACTAGAATACTTTGGAGGCTCACATTATACTTCTACTGGATAGCACTACTCTAGACCCTTCAGACTCACTGATACTAAAGGAAAAGCTTGGCCTCAGAAATCTGAGATTTCTGGTCACACCAGTGATTATTTTTTCCAACGCTTCTCCTAGTAACCTGCTTCACATCAGTTAACATCAACTCTCAAATCACTCAATTCATCATTGAATATTGTATATTCAATACAACATAACTGTCAAATGTTATAATCTCGGTCACTGATTTTTTTTTCATCCCATCCATTCTTATTACTGCTTACCACCCAGGAGAAACACAGTAAATCTGTCTTAGGGAAGATGTATACAAGAGGGAACAATGCCACACCATCTTTAAGGCTGGCTTCTTGAAAGTGGTTTCTGGTAGCCTCTACAGTACTTCAAAGCCTGATTAAATCTCAAGTGCTTAAAAATCAGGAGGTGACAAATTTCTTACCAAGTACATATTTGTGAAATTTATTTAATCAATCTTCATAAAAACCATCAAGAAGTTATCTCATATAAGAATTACTAAAAACATTTAAGAAGTCATGGGGGAGGACCCATAAATATTTTTGACAAGGGTGCCAACACAATTAAATGGTGAGACTATCTTTTCAACAAATAGTACTGGGACAAATGGATATCA